TAACATCCAAGAGAAAAATCAATTCCCAGCCAGAGCCACTGTCTATGGAGGGTGCACATTCCCCTTATGTCTGTGTGGGTTTTCTCCAAGGACTCTGGTTTCCCTGCAAGTAGATGGGTGAGTCTATGTTGTTCCAGCCTGAGCGTGCACACGTGTGTGTGTGTGTGTGTGTGTGTGTGTGTGTGCGGGTGTGTATGTGTGTGTGTGCCCTGCCATGCCTGTCCAGGGTGGCCCCACCTCATGCCCTGAGCTGCCAGGATAGGCTCTGGGCAACCATGATCCTGAACTGGAATCAGTGGGTTGGAAAATAATGCTCTTACATGTTTTTATTCATCTTACTTAAATGTATGTATAGTTCACATTTATTTCAATGTTTAATATTAGAAGTCCTTTGGGTCTTTATTTAGAAGTTTGGTAATTTTTTTATGACTAGAAATATGCCATAGGAACTTAACTCTTGTTTATATCAATTAGCCTGTGGTAAAAATTGGTTTCATTATACATCATTTTGCTTAAAATGGCAATTTCCAATAATCTATTGATGACGTTCAGTGAGACTTACTGTAATAATGCCTGTAATTGGCTACCCATATTGGACTACAGCTTACCTCTGAAAGTAAATTTTATGGTCTCTAAGAGGGATTTAAAACACATGTTAGGTTTTTAAATATATAAATAATATGTAAATTTTTATCTCAAAGACAAATTTGCTATGCTTCCCTTCCCCCACCTTTTACTAAAGGAACACAAGTAATAGCATGCCTTTTGTAGAAACAGGACTTTGGATGCCCCTGTGGTGGGTGCTGCGGTGCAGGCCCTGCCTCCGTGCAGGATGGAGACATCATGGCCCTGATGCTGAGAGTTGGTGGCTCACAGCTCTCGCTGAGCTGCTTTGGAGGTTTGCCCTCAGCCATGGTCAGCCAACGAGGGTCATGATCCTCTTTCTGCAGGTAGCTTGTGGCCAATGTCCAGTCCATGCTAGAGTAGAAAGGCCCACATCCTTGCCTCAAGACTGAACAGTGCTGGAGATCCAGTCCAGGCCTAGGACTCAGCATGCGGTCCATGGAGGCCTCTGTTGATGGTAGTTCAACTCCTCCCTCTGGCCAACACCGACTTCCTCAGAGATGCCGATCCTGAGAGCACTCCCCATAAGCTTTCTCCACACACACTGCCTTCTCGGGGTTCATTTCCTGAGAACCCAATCTGAGACCCTCAGCGTCTCAGTCTTCCTAAGACTTTCACTATTATATTGTTTGTCTGAATGCTCAGTGGGAGAAGGTCTCAGGCCTCAGACAGGCCAATGCAGGGGCAAAGCTTCCTGCCCTGTTCTCAATGCCCAAATTGTTTGGCTAAAGACAGAGATAAAAATTACTGTGAAGTTGGAGCAAAACTGTGGACAGAATTTCAATTGGGTATTTCTTGACATTCATGAAATGATCGTCCCATTATAAATGTGTCAAGGGCATTTTAATCAAATCTAGTCCGAACAACCATGTGCACAAACACACAAAAAAGACAGATAGATAAACTTAGGGAAAGAAATAAAATAAACTTTCATCAGATTTTAAAATATTGTTTAAAATACTAGCTGTGAACTCCTTTATCAACTAAAGTACCCATTATTAAAAAATATTAACAATAACGGTCTGTCCCCTAAGTGTAATTAGATTGTGGTTATTTCATTTTCCCTAACGCAGGGACAGGAATTTAGTTTTCCCTCTCTGCCTCCACAACTGGGATGACGAGCAATTCTGTGCAGAACCCAAGCATCACACTGATGCTGTTTATTCAGACTCAGGATTCTCTTTTGTCCTCTCCCACTTCTACTCTGGCTTCAACCAATTTTCCCACATTAATACACATATATGCACTGGAAATGCAAATAAGCATAAACCACATCACTCAAGTAGTAAGGATCACATTTTTTCCCCTAGGAATGGGTTTTCAGTTTTAATTGAATTATTTTTCATTGCTTTACATACACTCCCACACAGATCAATAATTTTCCACAGATGCCTTAAAATAATCATTGCATTCTTGCTTCTTTTTATCACTTTCTTGCTTGGCTCCCCTTTCTTTTGCTTCCTCTGTTTTGGCTACACCCCCACCAAGGAACCCAGTCCAACTCATGTGTGTGCTTCATATTCATTTCTGCACTCAATACTATACAGATCTAGTCACACACACAGTTACCCACACATGTAGAAGATCTTATGCTCACTCTTCTATATTTTGTTTTCTCGCTCACTACCTCTCTCGGAGTTCTCTGGCATAGATCTCATTTATTCTTTTTTAAAAAATGGTAATCCATTATGTGAATAGATCACAATATTTTTAACCATTTACCTATTGAAAGACATTTATTTTTATGTGTTTTTTTTGTCACTATAAACAATGTGGCAGTAAATAATGTTTACCTTTATAAACTGCATTTTTAATATGTCTGATATAGGTTCCTCAGACTGAAATTGCTGGGTTAAAGGGCATATATTTTAGTCTTAATAGATATGGAAAATTGCTTTCTAAAAAGGTTATGAAATTGTACATTATATTGGTAATGTATGCTTTTCTCTTCATACATACTAGCAGGTATTACAGATATTATACCCTTTTCTAAAATTTTGCCAGTCTGATAGAAATTTCTTTGATTTGCTTTCCCTCTGTACTAATGAATTTGAGCACATTTTAATATGATTATAGGCCATTTGGATTTTTTTCTTTTGTGAAATGTACCTTCATATATTTTACATATTTTTCTATTGCTTGTCTTTATATTGGCAATTTATAAGAGCTTTTTGGTATCTATGTTACCCTTCATCTCTAATTTATGTTTTGAATATTCTTCCAGATCTCTGTTCTATTGACCTTATTTTTGGTATTTTTGGTCATGTATTTATATTTTGGTTACATATATGGTCACTTGTGGTATTAGGGTATGTATTTAATAAATATACATATGCATATATATTACATGTTACATACTAGTATATTAAATATACATTCATATGTATACTAAAATGTCAAAATACAAAATTCTAGTTATTTCTTCATCAGTTAATTTATTAAAAGAGCAATAAACAAAACACAAAATATACACATACTTTTCTTACTCCCTTAAACAACTATATTAAGTAATCGTATATACTGAAGTCTATTTCTGGATCCTCTGTTCTACTAAATAATTTTTTATTATATGCCCTTATAGCTGCTTCTGATAGAAAATGCTATTTCCTTATTATTTCTTTTTTTAATTTCCATGGTTATTGTCAGGTAATTATTTTTTTTAAAGTAACTGTTATTTTATCCAGCCCAAAACAAACAAAAAACCCACCCTTCCAGCCCGGCCAGCATGACTCAGTGGTTGAGCATTGACCTATGAACCATGAGGTCACAGTTCAATTCTCAGTCAGGGCACATGTCCGGGTTGTGGGCTCAATCCTCAGTGAGGGGCATTACAGAAGGCAGCCGATCAATGATTCTCCCTCATCATTGATGTTTCTATCTCTTTCTCCATCTCCCTTCCTCTCTGAAATTAGGAAAAAAAATATTTAAAAAAAACACCCTTCCATTGGGACTCTAATTGGAAATGAATTAAATTTTTACTTTAATCTTGGGAGATCATTTTAAAAAATATATTGAGACTTCACATCCAAGAACATATTCACCTTTTTATTGTTTTCTCATGTCTTTTATTAAGATTTTATAGATGCTTTACATAGGTTTTGTTTTATAATTTTTTCTACATTTCATGACTTTATTTATATTTACTAGTATGCATGGAATATTTTTTTTTTATTTCTAGGTCCTTAGTGGTAGAGAAATGCTACTGCCTTCTATCTAGACATATTTCAAAGTTTTATTAGTTCTGTGCTTTTTTCCTTTAATCTGTTGGGTTTTCTACATGTACAAGCATTGCATTAATAAAGTATACTTTTTTCTTATTTTCTAGTGTTTACAGTATATATTTCTCAAATTTTGTTCATTAGCTAACACCTTTAAAGCAATGCTTTTAAAAAAAGAAATTATGATGGCAGGCATCTCTAATTTCTGATCATTATTAAAATTATTAAGTTTTAATTTAATATACCAAAAGTTGTTGGTTTGGGGTAAATAATCTTTAGTATAATTGAGGAGATTTCTTCTATTTTGCTATATTTAAAGATTTTTTTTAAAACTACTGTTGAATTTAATCATTTAGTTTTTACTGACTATTTATTTGATTGCCTGATTTTTCTTTTCATTGACTTCTGTATAGGATTATATAGACAGATTTCCTGATATTGAGCCATCCTTGCTTTTTTGTGCATGTGTTTACTTGCTACTCTTTTAAATTCCTAGAGAAATATTTACCAAATGTGTCAAATGTTAACAGCTATAATTTAATAAAGGGTTCCATGACCAAATTAATTAGAGAAACACTGAATCAAACAGTTAAATGGTACTTCTCAGAACCATTACAGCTAATGTGCATTGTCAACTTACAAGAAGAGATTAGGGTACAAAGTGTTTAGTGAACTTTATTTGACCATCTACTTTTCATGGACCATTTCCTGGTGCTCTGTTAAGCAGAACAAACTTTTGGAAATGCTTAAATGGAGATTGTATGCTAAGATTTGCAAATATTTCAGCATATGAGACCAATTAAATCATGAGGGCAGAGGATAAATTAAAAGTCGCAAGTATAGGATGCCAAAATCATTTGGGAAAAATTAATTTAACTAACATTTATGCCAATTATACTCACTTTTACTTATACCCAGAGTTTTGCCTGGGTAGGCCCTAATTATTGATGTTTGGCATTGTACAGACCCATCTTAAAGCATATGGTCTATAGGGGCTGAATACACTTTCAGCTTCAGCCAACTGTTAAAGTATGATTCTAAAAAGTAATGCAACTGAACCTGTTCCCACCCTATATTTTGTGACTCATAGTATCATAACCAACATGACATGATGACGCAGATGGACTATCATGACTACGGCTTGCACATGGCACTCACCAATGACATATTCCACCCTGAAGAGATCTTTTCTGGGGTTGTATGGACGATTGAATTCGATCTGGATGTAGAAAGATTGTCCTCTACGCACAATTAGCTTGTTGTTGTTATACTTGTCAGTGTGGTGATCCACTTTGTTGGTGTCCCATGGCTCCTTGAACAGGTGAACAGTCGTAACATGAAGGTAGTCTATGCACAAAAAGAAAAAAAAGGGGAAACCATTTTGTAACTTTATTTAGATGTAAACCTCAAAGACAAGATAATTTTTACTGAAGCAGGAAGGTCTATTAGGTAAAACTCTATTCAGAGGGCTGGTAGGTTTGAGAGTCAGTGTCTTGTGACATTTTTGCTTTCAAAGAGGATTTTTAAAAAGCTTTTTCACACTCTGATCTCATTCCAGACCATACAGCATTGGCTTTGAGACAAATAGAGCGGTGTTGACAGTGCCTATTGTATAGGTCTAGATACAGAGAAACCAGTACTGAAGTCAAAGTCTTCACATTCCCTGGTTTTCCTTATGTCAGGTCCTTCTCATGGTGACTACCACCACACTGTGTCACTAACTAAAGATAAGCAGGGAGTAGCCACCTCAATTTTCTTATCTTTAAAAAGGGAGGAATCAAATCTGACAAAGCCTGTAAAAATGTTCTAAGGACAAAGTTGAGTATTAACCCCAAATTATTTTCTTATTTCAAGAAGGTCAAATAGCCCTCCTTTTGTAATTCTTAAAGTAGATCTTGTCCTTCAAAGTGAGGAAAGAAAGGGAACAGGTGTGGAGAAAAGATACTAACATTTCTATGAAAAATGCTTCCACTTTATAATTGCTTCCACTTTGCACATACAGAAACAAGGCTTACATTTCCCTAGCTACTAATCAACCAATCTGGAAGCAAACCCTGGTCTGATGCCCAAATCTACAGATTTCTTAGTGTTGAGAGTATAACTGTCAGTAATACCTTTAATCTGAGACATGATAGCACTGGATAAAGATTACATATCCTCCTGCCTTTGCCTATTCCCTCTGCAAATGATCACTGAATGTGAAGCTAACTACAACTATAGTTTAGAAAGTCTAGTCTAGAGACAGATTTTTGTCTGTGCATTTGCAGTTCTAATGGGGCCCTGGGGAAAGAAGGCTGGGTAGGGAAGGCAATGGCCTCTTGCCTTCCTTCCCTTTCCCTGACTCGGACTGCTCAATGGTTTGCTCTCACAGCTGTGAACACAGTGTACATGGAATGCACAGCTGCTAAGCGTGTGCTGGGGCATCACTCTGTAAGCCTCCAATGACCTCCTTTGCTTTTACACAGGAATCTGTGTAGGGCACCTGGTTTTCTCCACTCTCACTTTTTTTCTCATTGGGGAAACCAAGAAATTGGGCTCATTAAGATACTCTCCAGTTCTAAAGTCGAGGAGTTTCTGAAACACAATTAATTCAAAATTCAGGCAATCCTAATTTTGAATCTCAGCTATCATAATACAGACAATCCTTGGGTTATGTCAGACTTGACGTACATTGTTTCGTGGTTACGTCACCATCTCCCATTTCCTTATTTATATATACA